GGCTCTTTTCCGGAAAAGCGCGTCTACATTGGCCACAGATGCTTTTCCGGAAAAAGGGCTTTTCTGGAAAAGCAGCCTGCCAATGTAGACGCTCTTTTTCCGGAAATACTTATAACGAAAACTATTCTGTTTTAAGCATTTCCGGAAATTCATGCCAGTGTAGACACAGCCATGGTGTAATAGTGGGACAGGTGAAGGGAAAAGTTCACTATAGAGACAGACTTTGGCCCACATTTTCAAACACAAGGGCCTCGAATTTAGGCACCTAGACAGATGGCTGGGACTGCATAATAATTGCTGAGAGGTGCTAAGGTGGGGCAGGACATGTGACTGAATTCAACTCTTAGTATCATCGTTAAATCCTACAGGTGATCACATTTAAGAACCCATCCTGCCCCAGACAGAAATCCTATTGACTCCAGAGACATCTCTCCCTTGGATGACCAGGGCCTGAGATGGGTTTGTTAGTGTAAGGGAGAGCTAGAGGAACAGGGTCCTCAGAATAAAATACAGAGGTAGCACTGGCACATGGCAGCAGCCAGAATTTAATGTTGCACTGGCTGAAAATTTACTCAACCTGGGTTTTTTTCCCCTCTGGCCTCTGGAGTTGGCTTCCAGGCCGTCTTTTATTTAATTAGCTGCTTTTTTATTTATTGTTGGCCAGAGTTTGGGTTGAAAGTTCAGAAGTTTACAGCACAAAGGAAATAAACAGGCAGGCCTCACTCGGTTTCTTCCCTCTGGTCCACGCATTCCCAATAGGCAGGCGCCTGGGGGTGAATACATCTTTGTTCGGATTGTTTTGGTCCTTCACTTCACTGTTTGTCACCTAGAGCATTCCAGGAGCAAAAGTCGACCACTCAGACAAGATCGGGGAGCCTCAAAGGTGGCTGAGATTGGGAGACTTAGAGGGGCAGTTTTTCCAAGGTTGACACAAAAGGTGGCTTCACAGATCTGTTTATTCACCTGTTGCATTTGCCAAACTTGGAGCTGCTCGCACTGCACCTGCAAAAATGCAGGTTGCATCCACGGAGCCTGTGAAAACGCACCCCCCCCCCCCCCCCCCCCCCCCCACTCACTAGCCCAGTGTTTCTTAAACTTTTTGAGACCACGGAAAACCAAACAATAATACTTTTTATGCAGAACACCTATGAACACCAATTTGTTGTCAGACAAAAAAAGACAAAAACAAATAAGTAACAAAAACAAAGAAGAGTTGACGAGTTGTTCACAGACACCAGTGTTCCACGGAACATAGTTTAAGAAACACTGGACTAGCCCGTCAGCAAGGCAGGCAAACCTCCTGGCTCTCATAACAGCCCCCACCGAGTTACCTGCCCTGATAGGCAGCATGCACCAAGCAGGCTCTGGGAGGTGCAGGGGTTGAGTGCACATTTTTTGAGTGCATCCTTGTGCCTGTATTTGAATACTGTCCCAGATCCGTCACCCTGTCTGGCCCTCAGGGACTAGTCCCACAGACCTTGTGGGGGGCTCTACTCTCTTCCCACTCCAAGTAACTGATACACACACATACACAGACACACCCAGCCTCTAGCAGCACCCAGCTCCTGCCCCACACATACACAGACACACGTGCACACACACACACACACACTCACTCAGACACACGCAGACATGCAGACTCACTCACAGACACACGTGTACACACGTGCACACACACATGAACACAGACACATACACTCACACATTCTCACACACAGGCACATACACACGCACTCTCACACAGACACATCATGCACAAACACTCACACACGCACAAACACACATACACACACACAGATACACACTCTCACAGACACATCATGCACAAACACTCACACACACAGACACACACTCACTCTCAGACACACATGTACGCACACTCTCACACGCAGACACATACACACTCTCACACACGCAGACACACATTCACACAGACGCGTGTACACACATGTGCGCACACACTCTCTCACACAAACACACGCAGACAGACACACACACTCTCTCTCTCCCACACCCAGACACACACACTCTCTCTCACACCCAGACACACACACGCTGACAGACAGACACACACACGCACACACACTTTCTCACACCCAGACTCACACACACACTCTCTCACACACACACGCAAACAGACACACACTCTCTCACACACACCCAGACACACACACACACTCTCTCTGTCACACGCAGACACACACACTCTCTCTCACACACACACACGCAGACACACACACTCTCTCTCTCTCACACCCAGACACGCACACACACTCTCTCTCACACACCCAGACACACACGCAGACAGACACACTCTCTCTCTCTCTCACACCCAGACTCACACACTCTCTCTCTCTCTCACACCCAGACTCACACACTCTCTCTCACACACACACACACTCTCTCACACCCAGACTCACACACTCTCTCTCACACACCCAGACACACACACACACTCTCTCACACCCAGACTCACACACACTCTCTCTCACACACACACCCAGACTCACACACACACACTCTCTCTCACACCCAGACTCACACACACACACTCTCTCTCACACCCAGACACACACACGCTGACAGACAGACACACACACGCACACACACTTTCTCACACCCAGACTCACACACACACTCTCTCACACACACACGCAGACAGACACACACTCTCTCTCACACACACACACGCAGACAGACACACACTCTCTCTCACACACACACACGCAGACAGACACACACTCTCTCTCACACACACACACGCAGACAGACACACACTCTCTCTCACACACACACACGCAGACAGACACACACTCTCTCTCACACACACACACGCAGACAGACACACACTCTCTCTCACACACACACACGCAGACAGACACACACTCTCTCTCACACACACACACGCAGACAGACACACACTCTCTCTCACACACACACACGCAGACAGACACACACTCTCTCTCACACACACACACGCAGACAGACACACACTCTCTCTCACACACACACACGCAGACAGACACACACTCTCTCTCACACACACACACGCAGACAGACACACACTCTCTCTCACACACACACACGCAGACAGACACACACTCTCTCTCACACACACACACGCAGACAGACACACACACTTCCAGCAGCCTGGGAAAGGTCCCGACGCGGCGCAGCCCCCCCCGAGCGCAGGGGCTTGAGGACCAGCTGCCCAACCACTGTCCCGCCCCCTCGCAGCCCGG